TTGTTTTGGGCTATATCGGCATACTTTAACATAAGGAACACCCTCCCGAAGTTTGGCACATTCCTCCTGGGACACCCTGTATGAAATCTTAACTATTGTAAACAATTTAAAGTATTGTAACTTTATTCTCTTATTGTAATCAGCTGATGTACAGTAACTGACTTGTCCTATATCATGTAACAATGATCTATAGAGACAAAATATATAAATAAATATTATAACCCAGATAATAGTACTCTCATTTCATGACGGTTGTAATGAATGGTCGGCATGTAAATTGACCAGCATTATATTTTTCTGTGTTTGATTTTGTTCTGATGATGTTTATCCAAATTTCCTTAATTTCAGCAACATACTGTAAAGGTGGCTAAGTGGATCCTTCCAGCATCAAATTTTCAGCGCTGTTATGCCTCAGAGAAGAAGGTGTATAGTCGTGACAAACCACATTGCAATGTAGGAACCATTGGCCATGTTGATCATGGGAAAACAACCCTTACGGCAGCTATTACAAAAGGTAAGTTATAGTTTTTGTACCTACGTATCATCCAGCAGTACAGCTATGAGTAATAATTTTCCAATTTTGAAATTACATGTTACGAGGAAAGCACAGTGTATACAGAATATATTGTAACGTGTTTCGTTACTGAAGACGCCGTAGAGATGGTTAATTGGTTTATTTAACAATCTAGAAGTATCGGCTACAATTAATTATAACAATGTTTCCACACTTTACAAACCCTACAACAAATTCTCTTAACACTATCTTCAAGAGTCTTCATGTATTTGTCGTATACCACAATGTCGGGTGACAGAGTGGATACTTGTACCTGTGGGTTGGTCTGGACGGAGTCGGTTGAGCGGCTAACGTCGTCCGTCGTTGGTGAGATGACCTGCTGGAAGATGCTAAGATTCAAGAGAGTTTATTTACACAGTAAATAATTATACAAATGTAATCAACAGCAAATCTGCTTAAGGCTTGAGCAGTGGCCGACTCCTAACTGACAGAGTACCGTCCTATAGACTAAACTCCGTGATCAGATTAGAAAACGTGTGGATGGTTTGAGTCAGGGTTCTNTGTTGCATAGCAACCAGGACACTGGGACTCTGCTAACTTCGGCTCCGCTCGGCACGTCACTGCGCGTTGCGTGTTATGTCACCGTGCGGAGGGGGGATGATGGAGCGCTGACTCACCCGTCGTGTCAATGCTGGTGGGGGGGGGGTTCTCAATTGCGCAACATGTCACAATATGTAAGTTATATATTGGGTTGCAAAATACCTTGGTGTTTGTCACCAGTCTGCTGTAGCCAAGTTTAATGACTTTCTCCTTTGTCACATATGATATTGCAGGTACCTCTTGTCACATAGTGTATGGATGCAAGTTACGCAGGCTGCGTGGCCCTTTCAAGTGTAACGTTTGCCTCCATGTTTTGTTCTTTCTGTTTCTGAACAAGTAACGTTTCCTGGGAAGAGGTTGTTAGCCTTTACTCAACTCCCTTAACTTAGGAGGACCTATGTGTATTCCCTTAAGGGTGTTGACTTCACCATGTCTAAAGAGCCCCCCCATACCTTTGATTTTTCTGTAGGGGTTCTTGCACCTGCCATAACCAGATAGTCCTGTTTGAAGGCATCGGATGCTCACCTTTCACCCTGCTCCGTCTGCCACATCTGTGCTCTCACCCCAGAATGTGTTGCCCAGGGGTTACCATGAGGAGGGGGATCTGTGGTTTGCTGGCATAATCCTTCCTAACAGGTGGCCTTCTGGTAATTAGTGGTGTGCACCTGCTAGCATCAGTGCACCCCACCACAGCCATTTACCAGCCTTTGACTCCCAGGACAGGTTCATGGTGGCCCCTTTTTGTGCACATGCTTCTGTGGGAATCATGTGTAAATGTTCTGAAGTCTGAAGTTTTTTCTGTCCAGTTATCTGTTAAGACAGTGGAACCCTTTTGTGATGGCAGTTGGTTTTTTTTTGTGCTTCTCTTGTGTTAGCCTTTGGTACAAGTTGGTTCTTGGGAGGTTATTTGCCCCTTCTTGGTGGCATCAGTGAAAAAGGTGGTTCCAGTCAGAGCATACACTGATGTTGCTGGCACATACACTGAGATGGACAATACTCTTTTTTGAAATCTAGCTTTTGCACACTTAAGCTGTTTTTAGATTGTTTTGCATAAGGCCTTGTCACATCAGCTGTATCCCATTGGTTGCTGGAAGGGAGATTTCTGTTTGGATTGAACAGTGTGTGCGTGTTGGTAGTATGGTTTGTCATGACTCATTCACACTGCAGCCACACCTCTGCCATGAATGTGTAGGTTGAATAATTTTGGAATTATGAGCATGAATTGGTACGTAGGCTTTGTGGAAATGGATTTGATCCAGTTGGATTAAGATATTTACAGGTTCTGTCACTGTAATTGTTTTCATTTTCAGTTCTAGCAGACAAGGAACTTGCGAAGTTGAAGGGCTATGCAGAAATCGATAATGCCCCAGAAGAAAGGGCTCGTGGTATCACTATTAATGTCGCTCATGTTGAATACCAGACACCAAATAGACACTATGGCCACACAGACTGCCCTGGACATGCAGATTACATAAAGGTAATATGTTGATAATGCATCTCAGTTTGAGGCTTCATTCTTTTTTCCTTATGCTCTATGCTGTATTAAAGTAGTGTGTGTTAATTTAATTATTTTCCTTTTTTTCTCCATGTTCTGGGTGGAGATGATTGAATTATGCCTTCTGTGTTTGTGTTAGTTGAAGGCAATGCAAGAGTTTCACTTGACTTATGATCTGGGGCCAGTTGGAGAGTGATATGATGCATATGCATAAGTATGCGAAGGAAACCGCAAAAAATATTTTGCATAATGTCGTGTCAAGACCTCTCCTGAGTTGTACGAAATCATCATGTGGATTGACTCCAGAAAACATAACCCTCAAACTGGTACACTTTTCCCTGCAGCATACTTCCTGTATTTCCCTCTAGTTGTCGAGCCGTCCTGATCGCATGACTGTCTGCTCATGACAGATACTTTGGGCTATGTGATTTTATGGAGGCCAGAGGGGGCTGGAGGGGAGGGGAATACAGCAGTAGGTAGAGAGAGGGAGGTCCTGAGTGCAATCACATACACCATCCATGAGAATTCTTTTCATGGTCTTAGTATAGAACAGTGTTAAATATTCAGTAGTGTTTAATCCAAACAAAATGTTGTAAATAGCTACATCCCTAGATCTTTCATAAATGTTCTGCCTCTTCTTATACAGCTGTTATGTTACTGTGCGGATATGAGTGTAGGGACCGAGCTGTTAATGCTGTGTTGGTCTGCTGTTTTCAGAACATGATTACTGGTACAGCCCAAATGGATGGAGCAATCCTTGTTGTTGCTGCAACTGATGGAGCTATGCCACAAACAAGAGAACACTTGCTGCTTGCAAAACAGATTGGAATCAATCATATTGTTGTATACATTAATAAGGTATGTCAGAATCTGGTATTCATGAATGAAGAAATTGAGATGTTCTTGACCACTCCCCCCCACAATTTTTATGGTTTGTCCAGAAATTGTTGCATTTGAACTTATCAGTGCATGTATTATTAATTTGGACTCCAACAAAGTATGCCTCTTTGTATATGAACTTATATCTTTTGGTAAGTAAGTAATGAGGTTATGACTGCAGATCGATGCAGCTGACCAGGAGATGGTCGACTTGGTAGAAATGGAGATACGAGAACTGCTGACAGAGATGGGCTATGATGGAGACAATGTTCCTGTTGTAAAGGGGTCAGCATTATGTGCTCTTGAAGGCAAAAATCCAGATATTGGTAAGTAATTAGTTATGTAAAACTGTCCTGGGTTTGATTTAGATTTTCATTATGTAACCTGAGATTTGAGTTTTCTCATATTTTGCAGCTTTAAGAGATTTTGTCGATACATTTGCTATAAATATAAGTTCAGAAACAGAAGTCTTCTTAAAATTCTTATTATAACTTCAGATTTGAAGTTATATCATGGCAAGTGAGGTACAATAGCAGTGGTTTTTTCAAAAAAAAGTTTTAACCCTTCAGTACCGGGGGCGTTTAAATCGTTTTTCCACTCCAANCAGCAAATGCCATGTTGAAGATTACTGTTGTCTGTGATTTAATTCTGGTGCAGTGGTACCAACATTTTGTAGAAGCCTGCTACCTACTTGCCACTTGGCACTGCAGCCCTGGGTAAGCCTTGGCTTCCTCTGCAACCAGCCTCCACTGCTCTCTCTTCCTCATCTGCTCTATCCATCCTTTCACCTTCAACTTCTTCAGGTCGTTCTCAACACTGTTTAGCCATCTCATCCTGGGTCTTCCTTTTCTTCTTTTGGAATATAGTCTTCCTTTTAACATTCTCTTTGACAGTGCATTATCTTCCATTCCTTCAACATGCCCCAACTATCTTATTCTCTGTGACTTAATAAATCTTAACTGTATCTTCTGGAGGAGCCTGCTACTGTGACATAGAAATATGAACTAAAAGAACCTGAAAGACAATAAAATTTTCTACATATACACTAAACTGTGATTATTTTGTCATGAAATGCAAAATATAATCTTTATTATGTTATGAAATTCCAGAGGACTTACCTGTAGTTTTTTTTTTCAACCTTGAGACTTGGTGATATTTTAAATATAATCACACTATATACAGTAATATTTTGTTCAGACTGTACGCGAGTTTGAACTGCATCACTTCACAGTTTACAATACCTCACACTCTGACGCCCGCATGTGTGCAACTTCTTGAAGGAATCCACGACACACAGTGCAACATCACACTTTTTACAATAGAAAATGGTGCTCCTGCTTTTCTTATTTAATGAACACACATGACAACGTCTTTGTTTCCCTTTGGTTGGCCAGTGTTGTGAATGTCCCATCTCCAGTCGACTCATTTGAACCCCAGATGAACTTGGCCTCCACCGAGAAACGCCACTGACCATGATATCGTTTGTGCGATTGAAAAATCATCTTGGGGGAGGGGGGTTTCCAGCAAAATTGAAAAAATTATGTTGATTGACAAAGCAACACAGTCACCTGTTAGTATTACTTGCAAAATAGTGATGCAGAGTAATTATAATACTAGTCGAAAAGAGTGCCAGTCCAACACTGATACCAAAAGTTACAGTGATGAAGTTGCCTTTTACTCACAAAGTTATACTGGCTCAGTGGGTTTATACCTCTTCCGAGACACAAAATAAAATGACATAAAGAAATGTAGGACAGTCTGACAGTGACTTCCTAACTGATAAAGAAATATATGACAATCCAACACTGACTTCCTAACTGATAATTCGCTCCTGAAAACCAATCCTTGAATATGTCACACTCCCTTGAAAGCTCTTGAAGCACTCATATGTGTGCACAGATGAATATTTACTCCTCAGTTCTCAAAACAAAGCTGGGCTCTATTTGGCTGACAGGTCATAAACAGTCATATCTAAACGTAAATAGTATCGAAACCAGTACCCTGATAAACGATTTCATTGTTCGGAGCTAACAAATGAACCTCTGACATGAACATGCGTGCATTTGTTTTGGTTTCCAACCCAAGATCAAACTGTCATCACTCCCAAAGGGAGCATGTGTCCTGCCTCATACGTGGGGCAATCCAAAAGTTACCAAAATTTGAATTTTGCGCGTGAATGGTTATGAGTACATCGAAATACCACTAGGTGTCTCCTCACACATCCTTCTTGAATCAGTGTGGCAAGCGGCGTCGAGTTGAGTGGTTGGGTTTATTGTTGGTGAACGTTTTTCCATTGTTGTGTTTCCGTGAGTTTGCAGTTTTGCGATGGCTGACCTGAGTGAGCAGCATGTCTGTATAAAGTTTTGTTTCAAACTTTGGAAAACCGCTGCAGAAATGCACCACATGTTGAAGCAAGCTTTTTGTGAAAACAGTTCAGGCCAGACACAATCTTACAACTGGTATAAGTGTTATAAAAATGGCCGAACATTGACTGATGATGACGATCGTTCGGGATGGCCGTAAACGGGCAAAACACCAGAAAATGTCACGAAAGTTAGGGATCTGATTGTGCAAGATCGTAGACTGACCATCCAAGACCTCTGTAACGCCTTGGGACTAAGTTATGGTACATGTCAACGAATTTTGTCAGAGGAACTGAACATGAGGAGGATTGCGGCAAAGTTTGTGCCACGACTGCTGCAAAAT